ATCAGTCATACTTGGCCTGAAATTTCGTATTCACAATGACCGCACCTAGGTCAATCCCAAAAAATGAGCCTAAGTCAAAGTTTGTTGGTCTGAATGAAAGTTTTGCTCCGCTACTCACCGATCTCGCCGGTGCTGTCAGGGTCTGGAGGGCAAAATCTCTGCAAAGTTGATCCATACTATCTGAAAGGCAAATATCACATCACAACATGAGAAATATCTTCAAAACAATGCTCGCAAAAACTAATCTATTCCAATGTCAAGATTGAGTCTCGCCAAAAGTGCAAAATTGCTCAAAATTTGATCTTGATATACATGATACACTATAACCATTGGCCCACGAGGGCTGTCAAACGAAAACATTTTACAGCTGACGTTACTATATTCATCTCTCGTTCTAGCTCGACAGCAAAATACAATATCACAGAGTATTATCTAGGTGTAAACTCCTCTCACCAAAAATGTTTCCAGAAATGAAGTAGCACAATACTTTACAAGACTATCCTGCCTGCCAAAAGAATCATACCTGTGTTCTGCTTGATTCGATCCTTCTGTAATGCCCACAATCTAATCTCAGTGTCTTCTGCTAAAATGCCCTCGAACAGCAAGTTGAAGCCAGTCTTCAATACACACACGTCACATTCATGATGATCAGCTTCTTAACCAGCTACTTGTTAGCCATGTCGATATTGTAGGTCCAGACAAATATACGATGCTTCGTATAGCAATACGTGCACCGCATCGTGTAAGAAAGACAAATATCAGTATTCTCCAATTTCGAAAACATATATCGAATTGTCTATAAACACTTCTGCTCCCACTTTCTTTCCGTGAAAATCTGTTATACTACGGTTACCAACAGGATAAAGGATAGTGACTCTCTTTCTGAGAGGAATACATGTTTGTAAAAAATTTGGCCGCGCTATTAGTTTAGCTCTTGATGGTGCCCACCGCATTCATACAAAAAGGGTCCCCACAACAATTCCTCTCTTCCTCAATACTTACCACCTTCGCTCTATAACCCTACGTCTCATAACACTCTTTTGGCATCAAGAGGACTTTTAGAGACGTCAAATTAACCACGCTAGACCTCAACTAGCTCAATATGCCCGATTGGTAATTTCTTGTCGGCAGAATCGAATCTCTTATCACAATATTCCATATATACTTCTCATCACATATCATATATCCGGAGCCACAACTTGCCTGAGTGACAATAGCATATAAAACTCCATCGCATCAAAATACTATCGAGTTAATATCTTATTCGATTATCTTCTCGTCTATCTATCAATAATATCGAGAATGTCGTTCCGTGGCTTTTTGGCACAGCCTGACGGCGCCGGAATCAAGGCGCCCAAGGTACCAGGGACTATGGACTTGGAGGAGTTGAATGAAAGAGCGCATCCAGAGTTCAAAAGGGCCTTAGAAGCGTATGTGTATCTCGAATTTGCAGCCTCGCAAAGCAAACTCAATTCGACTAACATGAATTTCTAGAAATAACACTATCAAGCTTTGTAGAACCTCTCCCGTTGAGGTCTGGAACCGTCAGTAAGTATATCGAGTCTCAAACACTATACCTCTCAACCAATTTGACTAACATTGCTTTTACAGAAAGCGACAACGTCAAGATCTAGCACGGAGCCTCCGTAAAGCCAATATCTCGACGAATAGGTATGGATTGACAAACGAGGAAATGAAAACATACAGAGAGAGTCCGGACAAATTTGAGAACATTCTTGCAGCTCATGCTGCTTCAGGCGTTATTCCCTACCTAGTAGACCTTAAGATATCGTTTGCAGCCTACACAAGATTGCTCTGCGCTCGCGATGTGCTCAGCGATAGCATTTGCAACCGCGAAAGCAATCCTGACCCCGAAAATCTCCCAATCGGTGACTCTCTTTTGACTTCCCTCATATTTCTCGAGCTTTGGTCACGTCTACAACCACCTGTCTTCTCCCAGCCAGAGCCAAACACAACAATTGATAAGTGGATTGAGAATATCAAGGAACAAAATTTCGCATTGAGAGAGAGTGCGAAGTGGGGTCCGCTCTGCAAATTGTACGAGCAATTGACTGTAGATGAGACGAACTTCTACGAGCCCAGACATGACTCACTTGACAGCCCTGATTTTGATTCTGAATAGGAATCCTATATTATCCTTCGCGGCCCGGTGAGTTCTACTTTCTTGACGTTATGGATGGTGAATACTGATACTTTGATAGACTTCTACCAAGGGATCAATCATATACGGCGGCAACACATCCTATACGCAAGATACTTGGTTGGAAAGAGGCAAGAGTCTGTGTAATATTGGTCGGTTGGATATAATTTGTTGTCTGATGGAAGGCAACTGCGTACTCTTATCTATCAGTGACAGTGATAGATATGACTGCTTTTTTTAAACATAAATAATTCTGTAATGTTTAATTTTTAATTCTGTCAACTATTCTAAAGAGAATCGCCGATGTACTCTTGGTGAATGATGTTGCACGGCACCTACCGCCTTTCCCTTCCCCAAGTTTGATACTACCCTTCCAAAAATAATACCCATGTTTAGATACCCCGGAGTACAACGCATGATCCAATTCCCATTTCATTCTATCTCGCACTACATTTGTTGCCGGTATAAGCACATTCGACGATAACATGCCACATTACGAATAAATCACGCCACTTTGACACATTTGTCGATCCATAGTATCTTGGGTCCTTCCGGTTGCTTCCCACTACCTGCAAGGAGGTTTTGATTTCCCAACTGAAAAGAATGGGTATTCCCTATCCTAATCGTAACGATTTCACTCTGTCTCGGTATTTGTGTTGACATATTGAACGGCGACTTTCTAGAAGAGAACTCGCCATCCATCACCCTGTAATTATTACCATACAGATGGAATTTCCTATTTTACTACTTCATACTACTTGAAAGCTAACAATTTATTCAGACAACATTCATCGATCTTGTCTACAACTCAGGTTCATTCCTTCACACATCTCATCATGCCTCAACAGTAATCCAGCCTTCTCCACCCCGAGTCATCAAGACAGCAATGTTCTCCCATGCTCCTGCTAACATACCTAGAATCAAAAAAGACACGACTAGATCCACCAGCAAAAAGATCCCTTCCAAAGTCTGCTCATCTAAATTACAAGGTGGACTTGTTACATCATCGAGTACTCGAGACCATGAAACTGCACATGCTAGTGAAAAGGAATTATCCCCAAGTTTAAAAAGATCTGAAGGGTCTACTTGCTCGGGAGCTTGTGGAAAGATTGGTGGATGTGAGAGGAAAGAGAAGAGTGTGAGTTTGGAGTTTTGACTGTTAGAAGGAGTAAATAGGGAAGGGATGGAAGGAGTGGAGGAGAGGAATTGCGAGGGAAGTCGTGATCGGAAGGGATGGGATTCTACGCAGTCAGATATATGAGATGAAGCAGGTACGGATTTGGGGTGGCATTTTCTTGGAGTACTGGTTTGGTAGAGCAACGTGGGTGAGGTCTTAAGGGTTTGGGTTCAGCCAATTATTGGGAAGATATTATACCCGACAGAGACTTCAAAGTTATAAACTGAATTATTAATATTTGCCATCAAAGTATTGGCTATAGTTATTGATCATCATCAATCCTAAGCGCTTTGCTTCAATCAAGTGAAAGCATTTGAGAATGTGGTGAAATTTGTAGGGAGCATTTCCTCTCGTCTTCGTACTTTCATCTGTCACTTTACCATGACTGTGCAGACATCGCCATATCATTAGTTTGAGAAGAAAACTACCCAATGGTGATGAAAATACAGTCTGGCGAACAGAACTTTATATCGATATATTCTGCTGCATTGCCTAGGTGTAGTCACCTCTTTCAACATCTTACACTTATCTACTTATCAACAGCGATGACTACAAGTAATTCGTCATTGTTCATTGGTCGCGATCCTCTCATTGGTTGTTTTTCACTTTGTAAGCTCTTGATATAAATTTCGGAAATTATCACGGACTTGCCAACTCGAATCTACATCTTTAAATGTACTTATGAATTTTAACGAAAGAGCCTCCACTTTACCCCTATGCAGGTAGATGTAGGGTTGACATAAGATTGACCATAATAATGTGCACAGATTGGTGATGTATCATGCGACCAAGCGAGGCGACTGTAGTAGGCTAGTTGGTATGGCTATGGTTTTCGGAAGTTCAAAGAGGTAAGGTTGTTTGAATATCGTAGAGCGTTAACATTTGATTAAATTGAAATTCTGGAAGATCGCTGTCATATCTTCTTCCGACTTTTACAAGAAAAGGTCCGGAATTGGTCAAGTCAATGTCCTACTCACAATATCCTGAGGCCTTTGCTTACCTACCTACCTAGACAGTGAAGGGTAGCTCGCTTATTCATGCGCCATTTATTGAAGGTGCGAAGGGTCTCAGGTCTTATCATGAATGGCGTTAATTACTGCTGAAAATTCGATAGTTGGTTGGTTGAGATATTTGGTCCTGATTTTTGAATGCTTTTTCTCAATCTGTTCACATACAAAATGATTGTCGTGGTCTGGTCATTCAAATTGATATTTGGAAGCCAATATTGTAAGATTATAATAACGCTATTTGAGGGATAAATTCAACCAACTATCTCTCAGCTCTATGTGACTTTCGCTGAGATTTTAAATCTAATCTAGGGTAGGTCGTTCTATCCTGTTTCAACATCTGGATTGTTTTGGACTGTCTGCAAATTCAAGATACAACAAGGATTCGATGAAAGAGAAAGGACATCATGTGGTCATACAAGACCGTGAAAAGAAGGAACACTGTATGAGCTGGTCTTGATAGCTTAAAGTTAGTGTTAATTCAAGATCATGTACAAGGTATTCGAAGGTTACGTCTTTCTTCGGTCTTTCAATCGTTACAAACATTGTATAATTTATACGACCTTGAGACAATTTCTATGCGTGTATCATTTAGATTCTCCCACTTCTATTATCGAATACATTTGCATGAATAAGCGCAACTTCGAATTCGACCATGGCAAACGGAGTTGCAAAAGGCAACAAGTTGAAAAGATCTATGGAAGATGATAATGAATTAAGATCAGTCAAAAGGAAAACGACGCATGACATTCAAGAAAAAGGAAACGAACAAATTGATATCGTTTCTCTTTTCATGAAGACGCCAGACGTAAAGTTCGTTCTAAATACCTTAAAAGTATGTCGGATCTTTACAGACTACCTAGGTATAACCAGATATTTTTCAGCCATAAAAAGCTAACATTTAAAAGCTCAAGGAAGGAAATCCGATGTGCTCCTGTACGGGCTGTAGAATCGGGAGTCATAGAGAGCGTCAAAAGGCAAGTTCATCATTCATGCAGTTTCAACGGGAAAGAAACTGACTAATCATAGCTGATCATGGCTGTGGTGTATAAACATGTGAGTCCATGATTATGGTGAGAGCTAGCTCACCGAGAAAGATGCTAATCAGCAACAGAAAATATGGCACTATTTGAGTACAGTGTCCTATGCAACAGTCCGTCTTGAGCAGAATATTTCTGGTAAAACTCTTTTTGAGAACCCAAGATGCAGATTTTGCGCGGATACACCGAGTGTGAGTTCGTTTTCTTACATTTGAAACGACAAACTGGAGCCAGCAGATACTAATCAATAATAGTGCCCTCTTCAGTTTCAGAATATAAAATTTACAGAGCCCCCCGTGAACTGGAATAGCGAAAAGGTTATCGAAGAAGAAAAGAACGAAGTGGAAGCATCCAAGAAGGCCGTCTCAAGAGATGAGAAGCTATAGCCATTCAAAGTCAGTTAGCAGAATACACAAAGTGCCAAAATGGTACAAGGAAGGATAGGAATGCAGGAAGCAAAGTCTGGAAAGAGAAATTCGCAATTGTATCATCAATTCCTTTTCAGATGTCTGAGTGAACATACTCTGCTGAGCGAGGTCGTCACAATGTAAGCTTAGTAATAAATTACTACAAGCATTCAATGGTCCGTGCATACATTTCCCCAGACTTCGTAATTTTACCCCTCCAACCCCTCTATTGATAATTCCTATCATTGTTTCGTGAACCCAATATGTCCACCAATTCCAACATATCAGCTATGGCTCCTATCAAAGAGTTCACCCTAATCGTCGCTGCGACAAATAAGATGGGAGTGGGTAAAGGAGGCGGGCTTCCGTGGACGGGGTTGAGAAAGGAAATGGCTTATTTTGCGAGAGTTACCAAGAGGGCTGGTCCTGGGGTATGTATTGCCTGATTTCATTGGCCATATGCTCTACCACTATTTCTGCCTGCGTAGCAATACATGCTACAATCTGAACCTCTGTGTATAGCTTTACGTCACTTACAGATGGAGAATTGGAGCTGAACCCTTGAATTCACACCTTTCTATATTCTCCAATAAAGACGTAGAAGGGAAGGCTAAGCTATGCTATTCCGAATATTCTTCTCGGAGTTAAGGCGCATGGCTGGAACATTTTGGCAAGTGACAGAAAATGGATGAAACTGACAAAGTGCAATTCTTGAACAGAAAACAAACGCAGTAGTGATGGGGCGCAAAACCTGGGAATCAATTCCTCCTAAATTCCGACCTCTCGCGAACCGAGCCAATTATATGATCAGTCGAACACAAACCTCTGATCCCTCAGATGCTGACCTCGGTCCTGATGCACATGCAGCAACAAGTTTGACGGATGCACTCGAGAAATTGGGATCGAGGAGTCAAGCAAAAGATTCGAATAACAATGATGAAAAGGAGATCGATAGAGTTTTTATAATCGGTGGAGGACAAATCTATAAAGCCTCACTGGAGTTGAAGGAAGCAAAGAGGATATTATTGACCAGGATAATGGATGATTTTGAATGCGATACGTATTTCCCGGTTCAGTTGAATGAGGATGGGACGGGTAATGGATGGAGAAGAACGGATACTCAAGCACTTCGAGAATGGACTGGGGAAGAGGAGGTAGTAGAGGGGGTGAAGGAGGAGGGGGGTGTAAAATATGTCTTCGAGATGTGGGAAAAGATTGAGGAATCATAAAGGAGAAGCACACGGACAGGGCTGAGCCATTGCTTTGAGATGACAGATGATGGATTCAAAACATACCCAACAATTGGATGGCTTTATATCGAGTCAACCGACCAAGAGCCATCCCGTCCCCCGTCGCCAGCTTCCTTCGCCCTTCAAGAGCCCGCACTTGCATACAAATGCTTCCATCGGCATCCACCCTTTGGCACAACCAAGCATTTGATATTCCTGGATGCCCTTTACCCCTGGAAATCTCGCCCAAGTGCCACCTGAACCGCCGCATCAAAATTATTCCTCTCTACTCCTATTTCCTAAAAAATGAGAAGCAAGCGATCTAACAATCGATACCTCTAAACATACCAAAATTCTCACTTTGTGCACTCATCTTCCTCGTGTCTCTGTTCTCTATATATTTTACCCGCGAAGTCTATCTCAAGCAGAAAATACTTGACCCAGATGTCCCAATTTGTTCGTCTTGGGGGAGCGAAGGCGCCGTAGATGTTGCGACTTGAGTGATCATGAGGGCGACGAAAGACGATACATTAGGCATAATATCTATACCACTAAGTTAAATTCCTGAATTCAGGCTACTACTATGATCAGATTATAACATGAAATCGGTTCTTCAATTTTCGCCAGGCCAGGGTGCTCGCGGAGAAAGGATCAGAATGCAATTCGGCAGTCTATGGAGGATGGATTTGAGACAGTTGCTTGTTTGGGATCCCTCGTTAATTATAGATGATAATATAGCAGATGTCTGTGTTTGAAATGCCTCATAGCATGGTTTGACTTGCGAGTTACTTTATTGAACAACGAATTCGGCACTTGAAGTCTCAATCTCTCAGAGTGGCGAGAAACCCATCAAGTGATTTTGAATTTTGATAGCACCTCCAAATCCACAGCTAGAGTCTCAGAATGACCCTTTTCCCCCTGGGAAATTTCAGACTAGATTCTATACGCCTGCCTACGCTATCGATTAATACTCTGTTCCGGGAGGGTGATATCTCAGGACTAGACTTCAGACCGATGTCTATTGATTTGTGAGAGGGTGGATAGCTTTAGTAGCTATCTCCTTAGTAGACCTAGTAATGTGCACGAAAAACCTATGCAGTTTAGAGAATATATCTCCAGCATCTGTAAGAAGCGCATTATAAACACCTGATATCAGAAAACACTGAAATCCAACAGCTTTTCGATAAGGAGCAACTTCCGAAGTAACTTCACCTTATCTCGAGAATGAACATCGGCTCCATTTCTATATCTCATGTTTTTAAATGCAGATGTGTACACAATACGATGACTAGGCCCTGAATATCCCACACGGTTCTACGAATACATGAATATCCTCTGCGTGATGAGAAACTTACCTAGAAAGCAAAAGACGAATGAAGCATTTCCTACCTAAGTCGCTGTATCTCTTCTCTTCCTCCTATTCAAATATTCTGGTATTGTATCTCTTTATCTCTGCTTCTCCTCACTAACATGCCTCTCCTCACTAAAAAGCATCCTCATGCATAACATCCCCAAACCGATTCAAACTCGGAAATGATTATCGAACTGCGTGTGATGTATTGGTATTTCGATATAGCATGTTGATTTTTCTATTTATTTGTTTTTGTCTTTGTCTTTGTCTTTGGGGTATATCCTTGGGGCATACATTCAGAGTTCATAAAGATTGGATATATATGATATGGCGATTAAGGAATGGTGATGTAGGGCTTCTACGTGTGTGTGGAAGGGAATGGTTATATTGTTAATGAGCACCTGGGTGGTTATGGATATTTGATGTATCGATGTGTTGGTCATATTGATATTCGTATATCCATCCCATTTACTTTTGCGAAGATACTGGATAGATGCTAGAGAGGTACTGATAAATAAGGGAGATACATCGAAATTTCCAATGCATCATGTAGACTCGGACATTTATTTCAATATTTTCAGAGTATTTATTAACTGCATGCAATACACATCATTTCATTTTGAACCCAAATCCGAAGCTACTCCTAGATCTTCAGAGCTCAGATACCCTCAGCAGCTCAATCATTATTCATTACTATCTCATACATTCGTGAATCGTACTAGTGCAAGTGCAAGTGTACGCGTTCCTATGCCCTCCTCCTCCCCCGAATTAGATCCATCATTCATTATTCCCAGTACCATACAAATGCACACGCATTTAAGAAAAGCTCAATATCCTCTCAACCCCGCATTCTCGACAAGCGCACTTAAACTCATATTCCTCTCCTTCATCTCTGGGTCCACAATCCGGACATAGAGTCCAGTCTTTTTCCGCCTCGCCATCTTCCTCTTCGTCATCCTTTGCTTCCCCGCAACTTCCCGCTCAACAACCCTCTCCACAATCTTCTCCACCTCTACCTCTACCTCCACCGGAACCCTCACCTCCCTAATCACCTCCTTCACTCTAACCTCCGTCCTCCTCCCCAACGCTCTCAGTACCTCTTCCCAAAACTCCCCATTCTCACTCATCGCCCTCCAAAGCTTCCCCTTCACTCTTCATTTCCAAACATTCCCTCTAACTCCTGCACCGCCGCTTCCACCAACGCGTTTCTCAATCCTGGGTTCTTCCTCGTCGTTTTCCCATAGATCCGCTTGATGCAATCGAAATAGATATCTAGGTCTGAGATTTGCGTATGCAGTGTGTGACGAAAGTATACCGCGGCGAGGGTTTCCAACGCGGGAATTTGCAGGTGTGAGGCGAGGTAGAAGATTTGTTCGTGGAGGGGGAGAGAGTAGGTGGGGCCGGAGAGGTAGGTTGAAGATGAGGGGGAGGTGTTGGGTGGAGGAGAGGGGATCGAGTATGCGGACGTGTAGAGGTATTCTAGGAGTGCGATGATGGAGTCGAGGGGGAAGGAGGAGAGGTTGAGGATGCTGGGTTTGTGGGGGAGCCGAACTAGGAGGGAGGTTAGTGGTTTGGTGTTTAAGGGGGTATGATAGAGAGAACTTACCATGTTGCAAACTCCGGTATTATCAATCATACTCTCCAAAACCGGTGATTGGGAACATACAACTACTTGATGCGCATTCCATACTCGCACACCATGGAAGATTGTCAAGTCTGAGAATCGTCCTTCGAGTAGAGCTCTATCAAACCGTGTCAGCTTCAATTGTGTGAAGATGTTTTCTTGACTCCCTATCACTCTCTCCATCGATTTTCAAATCAAAACAGATAAACAGTATCAAAGGAAGCTCGCAAAGAAACTCACTCTCTCAACGCCAACAACGGCCCCTCTAAAACCACTTCATTCTCTTCAAGTCCCGATTCTCTTCCCCCAAACTGTCCACTTCCACTTCCGTTCCCCAATCTAGCATTCACATATCCCGCAAACCCCCATCCCACCACCTTCTCCTTCTACCATCACACCTCCCTCTCTCCTTCTCACCCAACCCATCCAAATTCAATCCACCAATCCCCCTCCCCACACTCCCACTCCCACTCCCCATCCCTCTATCCTGCATATCCATCTCCCCTATCCTCCTCTCACCCTGCGCAAATTGTTTCCTTCCACAATTGTCTAGCAACTCTTCTTCCGTTGCATCCATCAATCTTCTTTCTTTCTTTTTCCTCCTCTCTTCCAAACTCCCCCGAAAAAACAATCTCAAATGAGAAAAACGCGGGTTGCCCAGTTTGCGATCTGATCCGGAAATACTTCCTCAAAGCAAAATTTATGCGTCTTTCCTCTCGATAAAGAAGCGCGTTGTTAATAATCTCTTTCCTTTCTGTTCCTTTCCCCTCTTTCTTTCCCTATTCTCAATTCTTACGCTGATGTATCTAAAATCGAATTTAAACCCACATTCAAACACAAACTCAGATCGGGAGAGTACTACAAATTCCTTTTGTTGCGTATCTCTCTCTATCTGTTTTCTTCCTGTGATGATGGAGAAAATTCTCGATACCTGGGAATGTTGATGTTGATTTTGTATGTTTGCTTCGATGTTTGCTTCGATCTCTGCTTCGATCTCTGCTTCGATTTCGATTTCTCTTTTAATCTCCTCTCGATATCAAAAGTGTCGTAAACGTGAACGTAAATGTAAACGTAAACGTAAACATAAACCCAAACCCAAACGCGTACACAAAATTCCCCTCAGAAACACCTCTCAAAGCATCTGTATAATTTTCACGTGTTTGGATTATTTCACATCGATTGATTGATCAATAGATTGAAAATTTGAAAAACTGAGAATGTGATACCCAGACCAGATAGAAAATGCGTACTACCTAGGTAGGTAATTCTTCTCCGATTCTAAAGATTCTAAAGCGTGCGTTTGTTTGGTATGTAATTACCGAGGGAAAGGTGAGTTTCAGATGAAGTGAAGTAGCCAAAGTGAAATTTTCCTCGCGACCAGAATAGATCAAAGAAGTTGGAGAGAAGAATAACCTTGGAGAAGTTTGCTTTTGTATATATATATATGCATACATACTCACTACCTACCTAGATACTCCTCAAAGGAAAAATCCTATAGGGTTAAGAAAGAAAGAAGGGAAGGGGAAGGAAAGAAGATATGCATATGTGCAGATATGTGTGCTGTGTGATATATGCCTAGGTATGAAGATGCTAGATACTGTATGTACGTTTCGGCAAGTAGGTATCTTTCCGCAAGATGTATATGTATGTGCAGATACGAATGCAAGATGCAAATCCAACTACCTAACTATCACCATCCAATTATCCATCTATCAAACCATCCATTCCAACCAACCTCCAGACCCGAAACCCGCACAAAACCTAACTAACTAACTAACTAGCAAACAAACATAACCTCCTCATGAATCTCTCCCTAACTCTTTAGAAACCTCTCTCAAAACCCCTATACAACCTCCCTAGAAACCCTCTAAAACTCTCTCTAAACTCCTCTAAAACCCTCTCCAGAAACCTTTTCAAACCCCTCTAAACTCCCTCTAAACACACCACACTCAAATACTCAAATACCAAATACAGAAATATCTCTTCAATATCTTCAATATCTCCAATGAAGATCAGATACTGGTTTACCTAGATACCTACCCACCCACCGAGATCCATTATACACACATATAAAACACACAAAAATATAGATACAGACATACATTAGATTACACATATAACATTCTTAATACATCATAACCTACATCATACACCTCCATCATATTCCCCCCTACACCACCTCCATAATACACCTCCATCATACACCAAAAAATCCAATCCAATCCAATCCAATCCAAGCAAGCGAAAATATTTGATCCCAGCATCACGATATAAGTAGATCTGATGATTAGAATAGAAGACATCGAAAGAATCTACAGAGCACAGTTTAATAACTTTCGCAGGAGAAATAGCATGTAGCTTTGATTCCTCCCTTTCCAGACGTACGAGTGCGTATTCAGTATAGGTAGGTAGGCTATCTCTTGAAAGTAAACAGAAACAGAAATTCGATAAACATTGCATGCAGCATTACTCCATTTATTTCTTCACATTAAATAAAACAAGTACAGAAGCCTAGTACCTACTACTCGTAATTCCATACACAATCTTACACTTCTCCCCCATCCGATCCTGATGCCCATCCTAAATCTTAGATACTCACCCAGCATACCTCCATTTAAAAAATTCACCATCCCATCACCCCCTACAAAAACTTTCCAAATCCCCACTCACCAACCACACCTGCCACTCCAGCCCCCACAACAATCCAAGTCCATTCATTTTTCAACTCCTCTACACGGGGCCAGAAACTATTCTTCTCCATCTGGTAACTCTTCAAATCCTTTGCTTTTTTCAAATCTCGCTCCTCATATCTCTCTTCCTGACTCTTCTCATTCTGTCCATCTCCTCCTACATATCTCAAGAACGCGTAGTTCGCAAGAGGAGCCAGAAGCATGAGAGGATGGAAGATTCCTGCTCCGTAAAGAACGAGTGGGAAAGAGGCATGGATGAGTGCATCTCCTAGATAGCTATGGAGGGGGATTCATATTAGTTTTGTACTGAATAATCAAGTCACGACAAAATGAATGAAGAAAAAGAGACACGAAAATACATACTTGGGATGTCTAACAATACTCCAAACACCATCTCTCAACAACCCCACCGTTCGTTCCTTCTTATGACTCTCCAACTGCCAATCCGCACCCGCTTCCAAAGCAAATCCGGTCGTGAAAAGAAATACCCCAGCCGCATTAGCCACTTGCCAACCCGGATTACCAGGAAGTGGCTGATTTCCAATCAGCACCTCTGGCGCCGCCAAACTCATCGCAAACGGAAGCGCAATAATGGATTGCACGAGGGCTTCAGGCAGAAATGTCGAAACGAGTGTTTTATTCCAAAAGTCTCTCGTTTTCGGTACAGAAGCGTAGCGCGCGTCGTCTTCACCGCGAGAGATAGCGCGCGATGTGATGCGGTAGAAGAGACGGAGGGACCAGGCTGTCAGACCTGCCATGATGAGTTTTTGAGGATACGCGAGATGCGTCCATGTTTGTGAGAGGTCGAAGTTGTGGCGTTCGAGTGCGAGGGTCCAGGAAGTGATGAGGGGGCCGAGGGGCCAGAGCACGTCTTTGAGATCGAGTCGTTGGTGAGGACGCGCGATGGTGTATGAGATGAGGGAGAGTGTTGTGTTGGTGGTTAAGGCGGGAAGGAAACTACGTTGGAGTAGACCAATTGCTGTAGCGTTAACTTGTGGATTCCATGGTGGAATAACAGAAGAGTTGGATCCGAAGCGATCTTGTTCTGAGACGGCAGAGTTGGATGTATTATTTGTAGATGCCTTGCCTATCAACGGTCGTCAATTGAAAGATTCTTTGTTGAATTGAGCGACGGACAGGAAAGCTTACCTAGACTTGACAAATTCCATCTCGATACCCTCTCTATTACTTTCTCAGTAGGAATAGGATGGCCTCCAAAATGAGAAGCATGTGTATCTTGTTCGGCCATATTTAATTCCAGTCTACCTTAATGCCGTGTTAGGGTAGATGTGTTGAAACTTCTCATATTTTACAAATAAGAAATGCTTTCTTTGCTTCAAACATCAAAGAGCTCCTTGCCCCTCATTCTAAAGAACGGTCGTTTCAATGACGTTATTGCTCCACCTACCTCTCGGAGCTTCATTCCGTCAATGATAGCTGCAAGCTTACCTACCCATGAAAACATTGAGATTAGGTACCACATTTCCATTTATATATCATTTCACATCTGAGATTCATCATATCATATTTATCAAATTCCCATCTCCTATGAATTTTCAAACGGAACTATGAGCTGGTATCAACTGAGACATATGAGATGAAGAGAGTTGTATTATTACGGTTGTCGAAAAGGTCAGAATGGTAAGTTGAAATGCTTAGTCAACCCCCACCCAATCGCTCTATCTCTAAAACCCCATCTACTTCAGATACCCAGGTGATGCAGAAGATGTACTTCAGCATATATTCAAATCTGAAGATCTAATTTATATTCTGATCAACATTTCTACTTTACCTTTACCTCGACAGCTTTATCTGTAATTCTCGCAAACAATCCTTCTCATCTCCATCTCTTGTTTCAACCTCCTTACTCAAATCTCCCAATGCCACGTCTACCTCTCCATTTCCTACACCTCTTCTTCCAACTCTTCCCTTGCTCAAACCCATCTTCTCCAAGGACCATAGAGTAACACACTCGCGCCGCCAAAAAACTACAAAAGCTCCACAGATGCCCTCCCGCCAATAACATCGAAGTGATCACCTGCAGCATTAACTCCATCCCAGAAAGGTCCTGTTGAGAAATTCGCTATTAAGGAGAGTAATTGAATGACTCCAATGCAGATAGCCACGAGGACTGTAATACCTGTTAGGACAATTGAGTAGTAGAGAATAGCTATTGTGTCGCGGGCGAGAGATGTGGATGTGTAGAGAGTCATCATTAGTGCGCCGTCGGTGGTGTCGATTAGACACATGCCGGCTATATTTTTATCAGTACCAGGCATCTTAAAGTATTCTATAGCACAGTATTATATAGATGACTGAAAGAAGACAACAATCTTACCAGTAAATAAAACAGGAAATATCAAGATTAGCCAAATATTGGTTCCTTTAGCACCTTCAACAGATGCAATTCCCAGAACTGCAATCTCACTACTGGTATCGAAACCCAGTCCGAACAATACTCCCAGAGGATACATTTTCCATGGACGATCGATCACTTTGAAAACTCTTCGAAGAACTCTCATCATAATTCCTCCGCCATCAAAACCTAATCCCATTTCACCTCCATCTCCATCAACTTCTTCCCTCAGAACTGCTCGTAATTTGACCACCAATTTCCATAGAATCCATGCATTTCCAATTCCAAGTATAATGAGTACACCAGCAGATACACCCGTGCCGATAATTCCCCCTATATTACTAAAAGAATTGAAGCGTGACTCAAGAGCGCCAGAAGTGGCTGCAACGACGATACAGGTTATGACTACAATAGTAGAGTGGCCTAACGAGAACCAAGTACCAACTGTCACTGGTTGAGATGTATGAGGAGAGCCGGAAGCGATGAGACGACGGGTCATAAGATCGATGGCGGATATGTGGTCGGCATCACTGGATTTGATGAGTTGGAATTTTAAAATGGAGAATCACATGATCATAAGGTAAATGGTAATATTGAAGAATCAGAAATCAGAACTTACAGAGCATGTCTCCAAACCGAATGTATATGAAAGTACAGCAGATGAAGATAGAAGTGGATGAGAACGTAATACGATAGCCACTGCCACCCAAATAATGATATTGATAAAAATCAAAATGGATATGATCCTAACTGCGGGGTAGGGCAGGAAGCGAATTTGAGGGGGTAAACGAGCAATCAAGGGATGAAGACATGTCGGCGGTCTAGGAGACATTTCAAAGGACGATGAGATGCAAAGAAGATACTTCTAACTGAACATCCAGAGAAATAGTTCAATTGTACAAAACAAAAGATGAAGTTTTGCAGAAAAAAATATTGAAGTTGAATACCCCACCATTGCCGCCAGCGTTGCCATATTTGGTCTATCAAGGTCAACGTATCAATCCTAATCGGGGACCGCCGACTGGACATTGATAAGATAATGAAACTTCATTACCTATTTTGATCGAGTATGCCTCAATGCGAAAGACTTGGCATGAGAGTATAAAGTTCAACCTTGAAGTTGAAGGTATTTGTGTCGACTTCAAAATCAATTTGAAAGTTCCTCTTCTGTGCACGGAGTATGTATTGTAGTTAAGTGTTTGCTCGATGGAACCAAGAACTGCATTCCAGGTCGATTGATTGAATTGAGCCACCAAGCATTAGAGAGATGGCACAAAGCCTCAATCCCAACCACCTTTTTGATCTCAATTCCATAAGAGTCGAGACCCGTAGATGGTAAATGTGAGAACCAATGTAAGATTCGGAAATGTAGGAGAAGGTTTTGGTGAGATGCAAGGTGGTGAATAAGTAACCAATCGTTAAACATTTTTTAAACGTGATCTTGAGAGAAATCGGCCAAGAACAACCTTGAGAGGTTCAACATGTCTTGGTGAATATGAATGTGAATGTGAGGTGTGAGTACACTCGTGTGAGTACAACGTATGAATAATCTGTATTGTAGCACTAATTGACTAACACACACGAACAAGGAGCAATACCTCCTTTATGCCACGATACGAATTCCACACTTCTCTATTGAGGTCCAGAAAAATGATATCACGAATTGGTATGTAGGTATCTATACTTGGTACTGGTTACACTTCACTCCCATCAATGTAATGTGGAAATGGTAACATCATAAGTAACATCATAAGTAACATCATAAGTAACCACACGTACTCCCTTCCGGACCGAATAAACCTCCTTATTCTTTCACACCAAGTTTCACGCCGAAGAAAGTGTGGAATCTCCATCCATGAAAAACTTTAAAGTTGATCCACTCCTTTCTCCTGCTCCCCACTGCCATGCATGTAACGGATTCCGATTGTGCCGTCAAACATCTAGATGATTTTCTTTAATTAATTTGTTGGTTGTCAGGGGTTTGCTTGAGCGGGTTTTATTCTCTTTCCGGTGGATGCGTATCGTAGCTATCGAGAACTTTTAGTGCGGGGCATGGGATTTGGGATTTTTTGATGATGATGATAATGATGTCATTTTGGGGAGGAGGGAGTGAATGTTAGAGTGAAGAAAGAATCTAAACACCATGATATGTAATAAAAGTAATAAGGAATAAGTAATTAAGTAAGTACTGAGTAAGTAGATGAATACGTAAATACGTAAATACATGCACACATAAATAAGAAGGCCATAATACATAATACAGAACACGTCACACACAATACGAAGGTTGGAAGGGTAAGTAATGTAAGCCCCACTTTTACTAAATCTTGCTGTTTTTATAGATTTTATTGCTGCTTTAAGCGATTCGAATAGATATTGAACTGTTCCCCCTCAAAATTCAATCTTTGAAGCTTTTACTTGCTTTTTATCAATTATAATAACTTTACAATATTTAAAATATTTGAGGCTTTCTATAGATTCTAAATAGACTTAGAATAAGAATTCGAATTCAAAATCCAATCGAAACTAATGATTTTGATAAAAAAAGTAAATAATTTTGAATAAAATATGATTTTTACAATACTTCTATCATTTAGAGTTTATCATATAAATTTTCAATCAGCAATATGATTTGATTCGTCCAAAGGCTAAAAGTGGGGACACATTTAGATGCATTTTAACATTACTTACCCTTCCAACCTCCGTACAATACCTACCTAAGTATGCATCTATCTATCAAGGTCTTCCTCATCATCTCGATGCATCATGATTGCATAATCAATTTATCATAGTATTACGATGTCCCAACCTGGCAAGTAGGAGTGGTCGGGAGTGAACGATCAACCGCAAGCAGGTGGGGTCTTCAGGAACGTATTGCTTCATTCGTACTTTGAGGGCTGCCCCGCATTTAGTTCCCTTCAGAACTTCAGAAGGTCAGATGATATGCTCAGAGAGAAAAAGCCGCAAGCGTCTATCGACCTAGTACTATCGGCAGTAATCTATAGTAATCTACGAGATACGTACCTACCTTGTCTGATTCTGCGAATTTAGTGCCTTCTTTTTGTCGACACTAAGAATAAATACAAGTCATCTTCCCCTCTTCCTCGTCTTTGCTTCTTCCTCATACATACAAAAAACTTCCTCTTCAAAACTTCACGAACAGTCTCTCAACTTCAAACTCTTCTCTTTATAATACCCAAACAGAAACACAATACTCAATCATCATGCCTATCTCCATCCCAAAAGCTGAATCCCTCAAGGACCTCTTCTCCTTAAAGGGAAAGGTTGTCATCATCACCGGTGCTTCCGGACCCAAGGGAATGGGTATCGAAGCCGCACGAGGATGTGCCGAGATGGGTGCTGATGTCGCCATCACATACTCTTCCCGTCCAGAGGGAGGTGAGAAGAACGCCAAGGAATTGGCCGAGACATATGGTGTCAAGGCTAAGGCATACAAGTTGGACATTGGTGATTATGCTAGCGTAGAGAAGTTGGTTGCCGATGTTGTCAAGGAATTCGGAAAGGTCGATGCTTTCATTGCCAACGCTGGTAGAACTGCTGATAGTGGTATTCTCGATGGAACCGTCGAGGCTTGTAAGTTACTTCCCAACGCTACTTTTTCCTTGTAATGAACCATCACTGATAACCATCTTTAGGGAACGAGGTCATCCAAACCGATCTTAACGGAACCTTCCACTGCGCAAAGGCTGTTGGACACCACTTCAAGGAGCGTGGAACCGGTTCTTTCGTCATCACCGCTTCGATGTCCGGTCACATCGCCAACTTCCCACAAGAACAAACCTCATACAACGTTGCCAAGGCAGGATGCATTCACATGGCACGCTCCCTCGCCAACGAATGGCGCGACTTCGCCCGTGTCAACTCTATCTCCCCAGGTTACATTGACACTGGTCTTTCCGACTTTGTCGACCAAAAGACTCAAGCTTTGTGGAAGTCCATGATCCCTATGGGTCGTGATGGTGAAGCCAAGGAGTTGAAGGGTGCCTATGTCTACTTGGTATCTGATGCTTCCACCTATACCACTGGAGCTGACATCGTTATCGACGGTGGTTACTGCTGCAGATAAATGTATTATATCTGTTTTTTCATGACATGACTGGGATGAAAGGAATGGCTGGGTTTTGGAGTTTGCCACAAAAATGATGGCTGATATTTTAGCGACATTCGATTGAAATGAAAAGCAATTTTTTCTCGATAATATTTTTCCTTTGAGTGAATACAACATGATTATATGCGATCAAAACCACTTCAAGTGATAGTAATCTATATCATGATATATAATTTGTAAAGTAGTTTCACTCTGACTTGAACGATATACCTGACACCCCTGATTCAACATGATTTCCACCAGATATTTAGGTCACTACCACACTCTAGCCCATTCATTCTGGAGTCGGGGATAAACTCTACTTTCAGCTCCTCTCATCTCATCCCATCCAATCCCATCCCATCCCACACACTCAAAATCAATTCTCCAGTCAACATGTATACCATCTTCCCTTCATATCTCTCTTTCATCTATTCTCCTCTTCCCTCAACTTTTCCCCTTAACTTTTTGAACCCGAATGAAGTGTAATAACCAAGGATTCTCTCTTTCTTTTCATTTTTACTTCATTTCTATTTCTATTTTTATTTCTATTTTTATTTCTATTTTTATTTCTATTTTTATTTCTATTTTTATTTCTATTTCTGTTTCTACTCTCATCCTCAATCTCACTTCTTAATACTTTATTAATAGTAATAAGTATCTGAATACGGTAGGTAAATATGAGATAGGAGAGAAGAGGAAAGGAGAGAAGAGGAGAGGAAAGGAGAGAAGAGGAGAGGAGAGGAGAGGAGAGGAGAGGAGAGGAGAGGAGAGGAGAGGAGAGGAGAGGAAAGGAGAGGAGAGGAAAAGGAGAGGAGAGGAGAGGAAAGGAGAGGAAAGGAGGGAGAGGAAAGGAGATGAGAGGAAAGGAAAGGAGAGGAGAGGAGAGGGAGAGAGATTTATAAACCTTTCTCTTTATCAAACCCTCTATTCTATTCTATCTTTCACCATATATCCTATATCATACATCTGCAAATATACCTAGATATTTGTATCTATCTATCTATCTATACCTAGGTATACATACTACATATTAATAAATCAGAAAAGAATGGAGTTATTTGCTTTATCTATTTACTTTATCTATATACTTCATCTATATACTTCATCTATATATTTCACCTACCTATTTCACCTACCTACTTCATCTAACTACTTCATCTAACTACTTCATCTACCTGCTTCACCTACCTACTTCATCTATACTTCATTTATTCCAATCAATCTTACTGAACAAACAAGAGATGATATAGTATACCTGATATAGTATACCCGATATAGTATACCTGATATAAAAACAAATAGAATATATATCATATCACATCACAACACCATCCAGCACAACACAACCCCAACCCAACCCAACACACCAGAGTAAAAATAATCAATTTCCATTCTAGTAAAACAGAACTAGAATCTAGAATAAAAGACTTTTATGCTGAAAACGAAATGAAACGCCTACTACGCCACGACGCGCCATCCATGCCATTTTATAGGTATCTAGCCTTCTATCCTTCCTTCTATCTATATATACATCAATTCATCCATCAACTAGCCAATGAACTCATAGACGCTTCGTGTTTGTATTTTAAGTCGTCGTGGCGTGGAGATATGTACTTGTGAAATATGACGGAAGCGTCATTTTCCACATCATTAACCATATACATATCCACGTATACCATAAAGGTCATCAGTTTCTGCCACCTCTACCACCACCTCTACCGCCTCTTACCACCTCTTCCTCCACTCCCGGCACTTCTTCCCTAACCACCACCACCACCTCTTCCTCCTCCATGTGGAACTCTAGGAGGATCTGGAATAATAGTCAAACCTGGAGTACCCTTAAGTCCCATCTTTCCCACAATGCCTCTGTAAAGAGTTGGCGTCTCTGGTGCGCCCAATCCCTCCTTTGCATAAACATTGCCTTGACGGACTAACTCCGCATTATCCCACTTCATAAGTTTAAGATGATTCTTATAGTATCCCAACCAAGCTTGATATGTTTTTGAATGATTATCCATCTTCGATGCTACTCTTAAAACATCATTTGCAGAGCTCAGATTCTGCGGGGTGTTGGTAGAAATTGGATTTCTTTCAATGTCCATTTGGAAATGCGCCCTCGGCATCTGTGACGATGAATACACCACGACCTTCTTTGCCTGCTCTTGCTGTACGACCTAGACGATGAATGTAAGATTCTTTATCGGCTGGAATGCCAACTTGAAAGACGTTAGTGACGCCCGGGAAATCCATTCCACGAGCAAATACATCTGTAGCTACACAAGAATACCATTTTGGCTTCACGATAATCGTTTGTGACTTTTGTTCTCTTACTTTGAGATACACGAGAATGTAATGCGGTGATGGGTGGGAGATCTGATAGTTGAGAGAGAATATCGGCGTAGAAGTCTACAAGGGCAGCGGTAGGCGCAAAGACAATAGCCTTGAAGCTATCCTTACCTTCCAATTTCATTTCTTCGCGAATAGAACCTACCATTGCTGGGGCCACATCAGAGAAATTTGGAACGGTAACGAGATGTTGAGGAACACGTTCATGAGTATTGACCTCTCCCTTAGGAATGGTGGAAATGAACTTGTAATCTTTTGAGAGAACCAAGTGAGCGACCTTTTCAACATGAGGAGCAATAGTGGCGGAGAAGAGCATTCCTTGTCTGTTGGTTTGGGCCTTGTCTGGGAGACATCTGATAATATCTTTAATGGCATTCATAAATCCCATATCGAGTAATCTATCTGCCTCGTCAAGAACGATAGTATCGAGATTGCGGAAAGCATCGATGATTCTTTCATCATTAAGATGGTCGAATAATCGACCTGGAGTAGCAATAAGAATATTACAGCCCTTCAAAATATTCTTTTCCTCTGCAGTTTTATTTGTACCACCGATGGCAAATCCAACTTTATAATAAGGAAGACGTTGTAATAATTGACTCGCTTCCTTTGCTATCTGCTGTGCAAGTTCTCTCGTTGGTGTCATTACTAGCAGAGAACTTCCATCTTGAGGACGTCTCTGTTGGTTAATAAGTGTCTGAATCGCAGGAATAAGAAAAGCAATGGTTTTTCCAGTTCCAGTCTTAGCCTGTGCCAAACAATCTGCGCGTTCTGAAAGTAAAGGACGGAGAGTTGCGGCTTGAACCGGCATCATATGGTCGAATTTTAAGTCTTCAGTAATGGTCTGGATAAGGATTGGGTTGAGGAGATTTTCAGCACCGAGATCTGCGAATCGTGGAGTATCGAGAGGGACTGCAGTGGTAAGTGGAGGAGCGGCAACTGCAGCCCATTCTTCTGCAAAGGATGTGGAAGTAGAAAATGCTGCACTCTGGATAGGTGATGCATTTTGGGTAGGTGATACACTTTGAGCATTGCTGCCACCTCTGGCATTTCTGGCATTTCCTCTGGTACTTGCTAATTGAGAAGAATAACGACCTCTACGAGGTTGCTTTCTAGCTCTAGGGTTTGGTGGAGATGACATTGCAATTGTGATCGAACGTAAAATTCCAAGGCGATTGTGGTTGATGGTTTTGTAAAGAGAAAGCATTGAGAGAGCCTGCACTTTTTGAGTTGGAGTTGTCAGAATTTCTTTGTTGGAAAATTTCCTAATTGGTGAATAAGGCTAACATCAGCCGTGCTTCAGCCTTGTTCATTACGTTTGATCTCAGCCAATCATTTCATACCTCACAAAGAGTTTATTAATTCCTTGACTAAAGATTCGTTGCCTTCTTCTAAATTGTATTATTTTTAGGTACTGTGAGTGTAAATCAAGAATTTTTACCTACATGAATACTAAGAATAACCATTTCTGATATACTCAGATTTATCCTTTTTAGTATAGCATTTTGATACAGGGCTTTACCAAAACGCCTGGTATCTACCACCCGTTCCCATATTCCATGGAAATAAGACAGCCAGTCCAGTATGCTCCCATTCCCCATCTTGAACGCCAAATATTCAGTGTAAATCTTGATTATGCCTTGTTTTTCTCTTGCTCATGCTTTTTCTCCAATTGCTTCTCAATCAATTCCGCGACCTTCTTTGAATCGGTCTCCATTTCTCCATCACCTTCTCCTTCGCCGATTCCTCTTAATGACCCAAAAATCCAAAACTCCTTCAATTCTCTAGTCAACTTTAAGAGATCTTCTGCTGCGCTTGTCTGCTCATACAGTTTATTAGTGATACTCACTAAGCTTAACCCCGGATACTCTAGATGCTAGATAAAAGAAATAAGAATAGACGTACCAAGGCATTACTCTCAACCTCCATTCTCAATCCCTCTGCGGCTGCAGTCTCCTTCGTAAATGCATCTTCAGTAGGTAACGCAGCAAGTTTAACGAGATTCTGGAAACGAATAAGGAGAGCAGCGATAGCACGTTCCTGGCGGTCTGTGAGTTCGTCAGCTTTGGATCTGCGTATTTCGGCTAGGTTATCAGCTGAGCCATCATTGTGAACAGATCCGTGTTTATGGACTGGATCATTTTGACTCGGTCTTTCATCTTCGGCAACTGATTGGGTAGTTGCTGTGACTTCATTGTTGGCGACTTGTCCCGTGATTGATGCGGCTTCCTTGCTGGCAACTGGTTCGGTGATCGCTGTGACTTCATTGGACAAGTTGGGGCGTAGACCATCTTGGTGCAACATGCCATTGTCAGGGACTACTTCAGGTAGTTCTGCGAACTCATTTGCTGTGAGTTCGTTGGGCAAGTTTGGATTTGGATCATCTTGGTGCAATGTGCTATTGCCAAAGTCTAGTTCAGGTAATTCTGAGAATTCGTTTTCTCCGAATGCGTTGAATAATGAAACCCTTGATTCATTCCCATTGTCGAGAAGATTTCTCATGGACATGTCATTTTGAGCTACTTGTGCATATGAATCATTTTGACGCAACATTCCGTTGTTGGAAATTGGTTGCGTGGTTGCTGTGACTTCGTTGAGCAAGCCTGGTATAGATACGTCTTCAAAGTTTAAGGATACTTCCATGTGTAAACCATTTTGGGTCATTTGTGCAGAAGAAACCCTCTTGGCGCATCGTACCATTGTCGAAAACAAGTTCGTTGGCTGTTGTGGCTTTCCCTGGGCAAACCGAGACTTGCAGCACCTTGATGCGGCGTGTGATTGTTGAAGACTGGTTCAACGAATCCTACTACTTCGTTTGCTGCATATTCATTAAGCAAGCTGGGTTTGTGATATTTTCGCTAGCAAACTGAATGGGAGATTGTAGATGCATGCTAACTTCATTGTTGGGTAAAGCGCTGATGCATTTCCGCTAGTAGAATCAACAAGTAGTGGATGCATGCCAACTCCGTGGTATGGCATTCTAGTGCTTGAGATACTTTCGGCAGTAGAATTAACGAGTAGTGGATGCATGCCAACTCCGTAGTAGGGCAATCTAGTGCTTGATGTATTTCCACCAGTAGATCCAATGGGCCTGTGGAGGCATGTTAAGCCCGTAAGTTAGAGCGCCAATGGGTTGAGGAGGCATGTTTCCGAATTGATAGTCACTAGAGTAGGGCATTGCACCCTCTGGACCAGGTAGCCACGACATAGGCTCAGTCGCTACGGCGTCGGGTAGATTGATTCATAGATGAGTCGGAGACCATTGGCCAATTGGTCATAACGGAATCACTGAATAACATTCTAGAAATGGGCCCAGGACAAGCGGGATTGGATGGATCGGTGACGCTGGATTCATTGATTCCAGTGAGATGACTTGTAGGATAAGTAGCCGGCGCTCCAGACATGTGCTCACTGCCAGGATGAGCCATGAAGTTGGCGGCATTGTCTTCATCGATTCTGATGGAATCATTGGCCATGTTGTAGGTCACTCGAGACCGTTCTAGATATAAATCCAGGGTGAGAAGGGGTTGAGGAATCGATTGCATTGTCTTCATTGATTCTGGTGGAATCACTGGTCGCAATTAAATTTCCGGAGACCGTCCCTATAGTTTCACCGCGAGAAGAATCCCAAGGATCGCGATCACCAGACATGTTGAATTTGAGTCGGTTTGCTGTGTTATCGATTTCGTTCTAGTCGCTTTCGAGATCGTGATTGTATCGATTGATCAAGTCGATGATTGATTGCGTTTAAATCATGAGAGTTGTAAATAAATAGTAACAACTTACCATTAAAGCAGCTGTATCTGCTGCGTACCTTCCATCTTGATAAAAATATATAAGTACGGTTTGCAATTATGCGATGCGATGCAATGTGGGAGTGAAGTGAAGTCTAAAACGATAGAGTGAATGTGAAGTTAAGAAAGGAAAGCTTGAAGCTCTCTCTTATGCAAGGTGCCCCTCTTTTAGTGCGCCCCACTTAAGATTCACCGTTCGTTCCCAACTTCCCCCCTTGCCAATCTATTTGATTCGAGCCCCGCAGTCATCATTGTTGTACTTGTTGTCGTGTCAAAAGTTCCGGGTTTTTGGATTATTAAATACATTTAATCGAACGCACCCATTCTTCTCTTCAATCAAGTTTTACAGTGTCACAGACAAGTCCTTCAAAATGCAGTCTGGAATAACAGGTATAGCAGCATCTCAATGTTGTTCTGAGTAGAACTGACCACTTGTATTCTCATAGCTTCCCAAGAACTTCACACGGCGTTTAAAACGTTCGTATCTACGGAATCGCAGAGAGGTCTTCTCTGTACCATCACTGAGGAAAGACTCACCCCTTCCGCTATCCTCGAACCCTCCACTTCATCCTTCGACAATGATCTCGACCTCCTAGCACCACATCTCCAAGAAAAAGCTGCTTTATACATAATACTTCGTCGCTATCCCTCCAATGACCCCGCCCCTTTCGTTGCCATAACCTATGTTCCCGACTCTGCGCCTGTTCGTCAGAAGATGCTGTTCGCTTCTACACGTCTTACCTTGGTTCGAGAATTGGGAATCGAGCGATTCAGAGAAACAATATTTGCGACTATGAAGGAAGAGTTGACAAAGGAAGGGTTCGCTAAGCATGATAAACATGTCAAATTGGCCGCGCCATTAACAGAAGAGGAACAAAGTCTGGGCGAGGTAAAGAGGAAGGAGGCAGAAGAAGGCAGAGGTATGAATGAGAGGAAGAGTCATGTAAGTAGCGGCATTAGTATGCCAGCTACTCCAGATGCATTAGAAGCCTTAAAGGGGCTCAACCAGGACGGTGCGCATAACCTGGTTCAGATCGTAAGTTTCGTTGTTCTTTGAATTGATATCCAATTGCTAACAAGCCCTAGAAAATGAACATTGCGCAAGAAACCATGGAACTTGCTTCAAAGACACAAACATCTATCTCAGAACTCAGCAGCACTATATCTGCCACCGAGCCTCGATTCTCTTTCTATCGCTACACTCACGACCATAACGGCTCAACTTCCTCGCCAATACTGTTCATTTACACTTGCCCTTCAGGTTCCAAGATAAAAGAACGAATGATCTATGCATCATCCTCTCGATCAGCTCAACAATTGGCTGAGTCAGAGGCAGGACTCACCATTGAGAAAAGACTCGAAGCTGGATCTCCCGAGGATATTTCTCAAGAAAGTATCGATTCCGATTTACATCCTAAGGCAGAGGTGAAGAAAACATTCGCCAGACCTAAGAGACCTGGAAGAGCATAGATATTTAGGATAAATTTTGACTCCGTATACATTATCAAGCGAAAGGACAATATGAATTTGGTTAAAGAATTTATGGGTGCTCCCTCTCTCCTATACGAGACGATATTTATGCGAAATGATCATTCTTGGAATACCATATTATACAACGGCATTATATCTCCACACATTCTACCCGAGCGTATCGTGAATTCTGGATATATACTCAAAAAGTCCCGTTGTCCCCTTTATCTACGCACATATCCATTCACTCTTCATATTTCCCTCCAAACAATGGCATATCGCTATGCTCCAACTTCTCCTTCAAAAATTCATAAACCGTAAATGTGACAGCCTGACCCGGCGCAACTCGCATTATCCGCGGTGTAATTCCCTTATAAAACGCATGGAATCCTTCCTGTCTAAACATGTCCACTGCAATAGTTTTTATCCTACTGAGTGCCGTTTCTCCAGGTACTCCTGGAGTTTTCTGTAAACGCGTCTTGATGGTATCGATAGGTGCGTTAGATAGAGGACCCATAGCTCCAGATACCAGACCGATTAACGTAGTTTGGTAGGAGGGAATGGGGGAGTCGGAGTACTGGGGTTGCCATTTCTGGAGCAGTTCTTTGAACTCGGTATAAGCGGTGAAGTTTACAGCTTGGTTCGAACCTGGGGAAGGGTTAGTATGAAAATTGAATTGCAAACCACTTAAACTATGCATGGCCTGGGGAACGTGCTGGGGAAATGCGGGGATAGTGAAATAGGAAATAACTGATACCAAGGGAGAAAACATACCTTGCCGTAAAGCGGTTAAAGAAATTCCACGATATAAAGCACCGAATCCTTCTTCTTTTACAACTGTATACAATGCATGTGCGGCATTACGATATTTTGGTATATCGAGAGGATCAGCCATACTATGGTGTTGGGCTTGAAGACGAATCTTTATTACTTCCATGGGTGTTACAACGGCGACGGCTTCAGTTACACCTGCTGCTAAACCGGCTATAGAAGGTAATATGTTAGCATTTTGTCAATTTTTTCTATGAAGCACCTGTATGTCTCTCCTGGTCGTTCTTTCATAAACCCAGAAATCATAGGAAAAAGTAGACATACCCAAAAATGTAGCCCTCCCACTAACAACCCCGGTCTCCTTATCCGCTAACCACTTCTTGTACGCCTCGAAACTTGTAAATCTTATAGCCATCTTCGGTACGATACCAGTTATAACGGCACCGAGTCCTTTGTAGAGACCGAGGGGAGTTTCGCGCTTCATGATCTCGGCACCCGTCGTGATGAATCCTCGTTTTGGCGCACCGGGGGCGCGTGCCCGGCGAGACAGTTGCATACGGACTTTAATTGTGTCTATTGGATGAAAATTGTTTAGAATTCGAGGAGTAGTTTAGAAGGGTGTCCAATGAGTTGGTGATTAGGGAGAAACGCACCTAAAGGATGGCATACAAGAGCCTCCATCATTCCTGCGGCTCCACCAGCTATATATTGTTAGACAATATTCAATTGGAATTTATAGATATGGAGGAAGTGACTCACCAACAAGATTTGTGGCCGCTGAGGCCGGTTTCTTGCCATCTGTGCCTTTGACGCTTTTCGCTGACATATTGGGTATATATTACCTCTTCGCAGAGGATTTGTGTAATTGTAGAAGTTTGATCAAATGTAAAGCTCTGATCGAGGCCAATGGATTTCAATATTGGTAGGTAGATCGATACAACAACTATGCGCAATTGATTGTCTATATCTCTAACATGTGAAGGTGCACTTCGATATTGACGTTTGCGATTCCAAGAGATATTCAAAAGTAACAAGATAAAAATGAATCAAATAGCAGCTTGCTTCTACTTCAGAGAAATAAGAGAACAATAAAAGTAAATAAATCCTTAATGCTGGTTGCTCAAGTGTATATATGAGTCTACATCCTTTCCGTTTGCGTTCGTCCAGCTGGGCCGAGCTATCTTGTCCCGCGGCCCATCTCTTCCCTCAAGCCAAGTCCCGTTGTACTTCACAGCCTTGCATGAATAGGGAAAGGGAATGGGCTTCCAATTGAAAGTTGTGGAGCCCCGGACTCGGATGGCAGCTAAGAAATGCTAAGCTTGTGCTTGGTCTTCGACGCGCCGGTTGGTAGCTCGGTTCAACGGATATAGATTTTAGGGGATGTGCAGCCAGGGACGCCTGAAGCGGCGGAGCGTAGAGCTTGCTTTTGCTATGGAGGGGCAAAAGCCGAATTTTGATATAAAAACTAGATGCAAACTTGCAAACTTACTATCGTTGGACTTACCATGCGGGCGATTTGGAGCGGTTGAAAAATTGATTTCATTGCCGGTATTCAACATGCCAAATGCAATTGAGACAAAGGATGAATGCAGTTGTGTTTCTTCCATTGTCGCAAATGCTCACTGTTCTTCTTGGCTTCCAATTCCAAGCATTGTTTTCGAGCATCTGACGTCTTACTGTCCATTGACTTGTAGTACCGAGCTTCCTTCAGGACAGGATAATTTATTTGAGATAATGGGTCAAGTTACTCAGATAAGCTTGTGATAACGCGGGGGTCGGTCAATACCGGAGGCGAAAGATGAAGGAGCTTTTCAATTGAACCGAGGTTTATTCTGGTAGCATCACGTGATTTTGGAATCCAACATTGAGATCGGGTAAGATGGTTGTTGTCGGAAGAAATGCTTTGATGTGATGAGACGAAAGTATTCAGCTTGTGGGTGAATAATAGTGTATGAAGTCTTGACTCGTGGATGAGAACCATTCGATTGTTTGAGTCGTGATCGTTTCCGTTGACTTGAGAGGTTTCTCTATCCACTGGCGCAGAGATCATGCTGCTGGACCAAAGTTTTCTCTTCCCCTAACACACGACAATAAATCGTCAACCCTCGATGGCGGCTGGTATATATCTGGGACTCTCCCATGAAGCTTGGTCGAAAGGCTCACAAAATCAGTCCGCCGTTGATGTTTTATATCCAGAAGTTTATATCTTCATCCACAAGGGTGGCCTAACAATAATGTTGCAAATGGGCACATAGACCATATTCAAATAGGAAGGTGGCAGGAACGTTAATTGCTCCTTTAAACAAATACGATAGGTTGCCCTTTGAAATCTCCACATCATGGAGCACAAGTTGCACAACAGCTTTCGGCGAACCACAAGTTCGCAAATGGGATTTGGTGCGCACCAATCGTAGATACGAGTGGACATGCATGTGCAATTGCATGTACAACTGAGGCAAACGTCAGCACGACAATCCTTCCTCAGCCCATCTTCTGTTTGTATTGTATTTTAACTTTCGTTGGTTATTTTTGTTGATTTTCTGTGTTGAGCCCTCAAATGTGATTTTGTGTTAAAGAAATATAGTACGGCATTGGTTGTCTATATTATTTTTAACATTTGTCTCTTTTTTTGGCTTCCCTGCTCAGTGTACAGTGTGTTTCGCGACAAGATGTCACGAGCGGGCATAGAGGAAGAGGGGCTGCCAGCGGAAGATAGATTGGATGAATTGGATTATATGGATATGGACGAAGAATTTCTCGAAGACAGCGAGACTTCTTTACTTCGAGAATCAGATGCGAAAGAGAAAGATGCGATGGAAGTTGGGAATTTATACTTATTGTGTCTGGCCATCAGCACTGGCGGGTAAATTCCCCCCCCCCCCCCTTGGTATTGGTTCTGTCATTCATTGTTGACATTCGGTAGACTTCAAGTGATATGGACGGCCATTATGTCTCAAGGCTCTGTAAGCAAATATCTAATATTTCTTATATCCTTATAATCATGTGCATAACTAATTAATCAAGCCTTATCTGGTCTCGCTCTCGGTTCCCAGCTACCTCATATCCCTAGTTTGGCTCGCTGGTCCCCTCTCTGGTGCTATCGTTCAACCATACATCGGCATTCTATCTGATCGCTCTCAACACTATTTCGGCCGTCGTCGACCATTTGTTATCATAGGTACTATCGCAACCATTGTCTGTATCCTCGCACTTCCTTGGACAACTGACCTAATATCATACCTCTTTGCCTTTTTTGGAAGCTCCCCCGTAGGTCGCGGCGCAATGATATGTAAAGGGCTTACCGCAGCTGCTTGGATATGGGCTTTGAATATCGCAATTCAACCCGTGCAAGGGGGACTAAGGGCAATTATCGTAGACTGTGTTCCGCCGAAACAACAGGTAAAAGCTTGCGGATATGCGAGTGCTGCCGCCGGAATTGGTTCAATTTTAGGGTACACTGCCGGCTATGTTTCGCTGCCGAAATATTTACCATGGCTTGGCGACACTCAATTAAAAGGGCTTTGTCTGATTGCTTCCGTGGCATTGGGTTCAACTGTTGCGGTGACCTGCTTTACGGCGAAAGAAAAACGTTTTGTAGATTTGGATGCGAGTACAAAAAAGCAGAGTTTCGCGGGGAACTTACGTCAAATTCTTAGCAGCATAAAGACGTGTCCGCCAGAGATCAGGAAGATTTGCGTGGTTCAATTTTTTGCTTGGATAGGCTGGTTTCCGTTTTTATTTTATATAACACCTCGTAAGTTCTCTTTATTGTCATCTCGTGACTTTAGAACATGATCCTAATGAAATGATCTAGATACCTAGGCGGTCTTTGTATGTTACTCACGATTTCTAATGCTGATAATAGCGAAACTGACTGGATCCAGATGAAGCAGAATACACCGCGATATCCAAAAAGGAAACTCCTACTATCGCATTTCTTACCACATCATCTCATTCCATCCGCCATGCAACATTTATCATGATTCTCTTCGCCCTCGTTGCGCTCATCTCAAACCTGATACTTCCTTTATTCATCTCGCCCTCCTCCATCAGTTCTAAAGATCAGAAACCCACTTTCATCTCCCGCCTCCACGTCAAATTTCTCACCCTTCCCCACGTCTGGACACTCTCTCATATCCTCACCACGCTTCTCACTATATCTACCTTACTAACATCGGCCTTTGTCTCTACCTCGATCCTTGTTATCTTCCTCGGTATCTCCTGGGCCACCAATAATTGGATTCCTCTTGCCCTCATCTCAACTGAAATTTCGCAATCTCAACATCGCTCCCGCTCCACTACCTCCACTTCTTCCATCCCCCTCTCCCAAATAGCTCAACCTGCTTCTTCATCCCACAAAAGAAATAGAATTCGAGAGGAGTTACAAGCAGGCACAATAATGGGCCTCTACAACATGGCAATTGCTTTGCCACAAATCATCGCTGCGTTACAGGGGAGTCTAGTATTTTGGGCATTAGGAGAGGTTGGAGTTGTTGGAACAGAAGCAATGGGTTGGGTTATTAGACTGGGATGTTTGGGGAGTATTTTTGCTGCTTGGTTAGCTGATTCATTATGAATTACGCCGTTTACGAATAGATGGGAAATTTTGGGCAATGGGTGGTGTCCAGGTTCTTAGGAGTTTTGGAATAGAACTTGCGTTTGGCGATACGTAATTGGCGTTATATTGCTTTGAGATCAGGCCGATAGTGTACTGTAGTAGACGTAACACACGTATTCTTGAAATCATATTCCTATCAAATTTGCCCTGATCTAACACATCAATGTCTCCATTCAATTCGTACTTCTATTTTCCAATCTTCACTGTTCTTGTGTCAATATATCTCAACTCACTTGGCTGTATAAGACAAAACCGGGAAGAAGTACAAGTTCAGCTTGTATATATGGGAATGTCATCTCGGTGGTCTGCCAATACCTCTCGAGGTACGTAGAAAATACCATCTAATAAACCAATATACTTAGTATCATCCAAGTACGTTCAGCCGGCAACTCAATGCACCATGCTTCAGCCGTTGAGGATCCCACTAATTGTCGAAGAAGCCCTCACTTCTCAACATCGATACAGACAATTTCCATTGTATGAGTGGCCTCTGGAACTCATTGATCTCGTAATAGAGATACGAAATCTAATTCTCAGCTTCCGAAGATTGTGAATTTCCAGTCTATAATACTTCCAAAAGGATGAAGAATGACCTTAAAACTACTAGCCCAGTAATCTTTTCATTTCGATATATATATGTCTATCTATTCGAGATACTCAGACAAGTCTAAAGCTAAAATGAAATAAAAACACTCATTTTATGTTCAGACGTGCAATAATCCCTAAGTTTCTCTTCCCCTTCCTCTAAATCTCATTAACAAGTAGTCCGGTATAGAAATGTACAGCACAATCTCCATCTCTCTATCTCTTTAGCTCTAATCCAGACACGCTATAAATTTCCAGCCACCTCCCTGAAATCACCAAGATCGGACTAGACTAGTGAGCGAGCTTGGATGACCTGGCTCATAACTTCCAGAACCTCATTATTGAATCGCGAGATAAGTATCTCTATTTCTTAAGTAGAACTGCAAGATATTAAAGACCTGTACCAGAAAATACTAAACGAGCACGCCATTCTTGAGTGTAGGTTGCAGCTTCTAGCTGCTTTTCTTTGGTTGAATTTTACTTGGGAATTTCATGTCTTTCTTTCGCTAGTATATGGATATCTCATAAATCTATCACACAAATCTATCTCACTATTCTATCTTTGAAGATACAGTCGATATTTACAAAATCTTCCTCAGTTAGAGTATGGAATGTATCATATAGATTATCTAGAAACCATCACATTATCCAACACTCTCGACAGCAAATTATGAACCGAATATATCGAATTACATTGCATAACTCACTCTCTCTACTCAGCACCATTCAAATATCCAAAAAAAACAAAAAATATCCAGCATTTCACACTCTCCGCTCAAACTCCTCAAATCATCTAGATAAAACCTACTCAGATAGGTAGAAATTGAACACTTCCGTTTATCTAGCAAATTTTTTCAAATCTTCCTGATATAACATATGGCAAGCCCTTAAAATCTCCCCATCATACTACGTACCTCAAACTCGGTTACCATCATTGTTCTCCTCGAAACCAATAAACTCAACCGAAGATATCCTTCCATTCTCTTTCACGAATTACGATCTTCTCCCATCATCTCTTCGTTGATCTAATTCAAGACCCCTTACACATATGTAATTATTATACATACAGTATCAACACCAATACTCCCACCGTCTCTCCACAACCCTCTCTCCCAAAGTTCAGAAACCACAGAACAGTGAACATAAGAAGCAGCAAATCACTGATATCCAAAAGTGTATACAAGAATCAAGACTTAGCTCAAGAATTGAAAACTACGAAAACTTGAAGCTCCCCTCTCAACTTTGACGCACCTCGACCTCGTTGCTGCTTGTTTCAGTATAGCATAATATGAGTGACGTTGAAGAATTATCCCCATTTCCGGTTCTCTCTACTCTCTCTTTTTGGAAAGAGAATATACCTTCTTCTATTAAACTCACTTCAAGATTTCTTTATATCTACTAGAC